CCAGAGCCCAGGCCCGGTGTTTGAGCGAGACCACTCCAAGCCCGCAGATCCTCATTTGACCCAGGGTGCAGGCCCAGTGTGGAACCCGTCAGCAGAACTCCCTGCAAAGAGGCTAGAGGCAAGACCCACCCAGCTGATTCAGGAGGAGAACATCTTACCAGAGAGACACAAAGGGTTCAACTCTAACACCTGTAGCAGAAAGAAGTGGAGCACAGCAGCTAGACCCAAACAACACCCACCTGGAGGAATCTGAACTTCGTAGATCTGGACCGGGTGCTAAGGTAATAACTCTATCTAAGCTCTACATGAAAGGTCACAAGACAGTGTTATACAAAATTACAGAGAAGGAACAAAATGCAGTCTCAGATCCCGAGTCCACCCAGTACAATTGCAGAAGGCACTAGCACTGAGGAAACCGGAAATCACACACCAGATATCTCTGAAATAATAGTGTTGGCAGTAAAGAAACAACTGCAGAAAGGTATAGAAGAAATCAGATCAGAAATAATTTTGGAACTAAAAAAATTTAGTGATAAATATAATCAAAGTACTAAGTGCTTCTAAAGAATACACTGATTAAAAAAATAGAGGAGAATATAAAAATGATGGAACCCCTGAATAAGCAATTTAGGAAAGAGATAGAATGTATGAAACAGGTTCGGGGGCCTGCCCCTTAGCTCAGTTCTTTAAGTGGCTGCTTCTACCAAGCAGTCAGGCTCAGGTTGCTGTGGTTTGATCCCCACAACTCAAGCCAGCCAAACCTGCCCTGAAGGCATTTGGAGCAAAAAAAAAAGAAGAAGAAGAAACAGGTTCATAGTGATATACAGGAAATTAAAAACTCAATCACAAGCCTGCAAAACCGTTTGAGTGAAAGTGAAAATAGACTTTCTGACCTGAAAGACACCATCACTTCTAGTGAAAAAGTACGAAAAGATCTCTTAAAAACAACTAGGATGTGGGAAAAAATAATTCAATACCTGCAAGACGATGCAAAGATGAACAATGTGAGACTAATAGGCATCAATGAGAAGGAAGGAGTCAATACAAATGATATAAAAATAACATGGGCAGAAGTAATAGCAGAAAACTTCCCAAATATGGGGCAACAATCCGACATTCATGTAACCAAAGCATATAGAACTTCAAATAACATCAACCCAATTAAAACCATGCCCAAACACATAATAATCAAGATCCCAGAATTTCATCATAGGAACAGTACACTAAAAGCCACTAAAGAAAGGAAGCAGATCACATTTAAAGGGTAACCCATCAGAGTAACAGCAGATTTCTTTTCACACACCATCAAGTCAAGAAGACATTGGAGCAAAGTACTTCAATTCTTGCAAGAAAACAAATTCCAACCCAGACTGATATATCCTGCAAAACTCTCTTTCAAGTATAATGGAGAAGTGAAATACTTCCATGACAAAGAACAACTAAAGAATTTCATGATGACAAAGCCAAGCCTACACAGACTACCAAATGATGTTCTAGAGAGGGAGCAAATTGATCACAGCCCTATGAATGAGAATGGAAAAAACCTGCCAAATAGGACAAACAAACACTGGAGAATAAGAAGTATACAGTAGTAGTCTTTCAGTTATTCTTTTGTGTTCAGCAGCAAAATATTTCCATCACCACACTCCACAAATGGACTTCTCTTCCACTCTATGAGTCATTATTCCACCTGAGTCTACAGGGTGGATTGCAAAGAAATAGCTGTAGCTCAGTTCCACAAGTGATGCCTAGCCACCAGTAACTGCCACGGTCATTATGCATGTCCACAACACACTAGAAGTTTGTGCGATATCCTATCCTCAAACTGTTAGAAGTGCTGGTCATTTATTTGCCATTCCAGTATTTATCTTATGTTTTACTCTTAGTACTTCTTTGCTATCATGAAAACTTTTTCTTAGTTCAATTGTTTTGAAACATTTAATTTTTAATTGATATTTAACTTTCTGAATATTGCTTAATCTTAATTTTTGTTCTAAGATTTATACTCTATCTTTGACTTATAATTCATTTAAAAGACATGGTATGATATCTTCTCCTAGTACTAGAAACTTTCAAAAGTATATTTCCATTTTCTGTTGACTTTATATTACTTCTTCCCTGTCTTTTATATACACATACACACACATATATGGTAAAAAAATACGTGTATAACTCAACATAAGATTGGTCCTGTTTCATAGAAATCTGCAATGACCTTTAAATAAGGGTTCATCTAATATATTTTTATATAGTCCTGCATAACTATCATATTGAGAGCTCTTTATTGTTCATCCAGGAGCATACTGCAACTTCTCTTGCCTTTTGAATTATGCTCTTTGTTATTTCCTATATGCTACATCTGGAGGTATTAAAATATTTCAAGTTTGTGTAATTAGAAAATCTTACTTTTAGTTTTCAAAGATATGTTTGCTAAGCACAAAATTCAAAGAGGACAGATCTTTTCTTTCAGTCCTTTAATTAATCTAGTTTCTTACACACTTGGTCCTTTTTTCTTCTTTCAAATGTGGAATAAGATGCTATTTAATTTTGTTCTTCCATAGCTAATATTTTATGTATATGCTTTAATGATTTTTTTTCTTTACAAGAAGTTTTAGACAATTTCATTTTTATGTATCTTGATATGATTTTATCTAAATGTCTTTGCAAAAGGTTCATTTTTCTTGGAAATATGGTACTGTAAATTGAACTAAATTCAGAAATTTTAAATCTTTAAATATTTATTGCCTACTCCTTTCTACTTTGAGAATTCTAATTATATGACTATAAGTTTCTTGGTTTTGACACAGTGAACTATTATGACTGCTCTGTAAATTCTTTCTTCATTTTTATTTTGGACGGTTTTTATTTTTATATTCATTTCTGTTTGTAAATAATTTATTTTCAATTTGCAATCTATTAAAAAATAAAAATTACCTCCACAAAATGGGTGTGGTGCTGTACACCTGTAAAAAAACAACAACAACAAAGCAAGGCACATGGCCAAACTCCAAGTCCATGGGTAAGAATACAGTTTTGGCTCATTGAAAGGCACTTCAAAGGATGCTGATAAACAATTTTATCACAATGGGGAAGATAAGGGTTGAAAACAATAATCTACCATGATATTTCAAGTAGACATTATTTAAATAGGCTAAAGGAGACAGTAGGGAAAACTAGTATGTGTTAGACATTGGAGACATTTTCTGAAAATGAGTTGAAAATATATAAGTTTGTCCTGATTTTGAGAAAACCTTGGAGCAGTGTCAACCAAGCAGTGTGTTAATTGGATGTAAATTTGTTTTAGACACATCTAACATCTTCTTTCTGCATTCCTTCCTCCTGTTTTAGAGATTTGCAGTCATTTTCCAATTTTCTAGAAGTACTGAATTTTATTTAGGGTCAAGACCATCACTCATTCAAGAGCACACATTCATGATACTCCTGCCTAGGCGTTGGTGTTGTCTCCAAATCACAGCGTGCATGCAGTCATACTGACATTGAGCATTTAGTATAATTTTCACCCACTTTGTACAGTTTGAAATATTGTCAACATAACATGAATCTCTCAAAGAAAAAAGTCCAGAAACTTTATCAAATTATAAAAGTTTCAGCTGAGGAATACATCTAATAAATACCAACTAGAACAAATTTTTGCAATACAATTTTACAGGAACACCCAGCATATAGAAACATTAGTGAATAATTTAGGAAATTCAGGAGAATCACAGAGTCCCCTGCCTTCAACTCCCATTTTTCCCATCCACATCTTAGAGATTGCTCAGGAAGTCCTTTTACTTTATGTCTCATTGTGGGAAAACCACTAGTCTAGGTGTCTGATGAAGCCTGATGAGTCACTTCTTTGGGGCTTTCAAACAGTGCCCAGTTTAATCAAGTAAGGACACAGAGCTCTAACTCTGGAATTTATGTCTCATCGGATGAGCCAGGGAAATAATCAAGAGCAAAAAGTACTTTTGTCATCCAAGAAGTTATGCCCCTTGGATAGCTAATACTTCTATGGTCAGTTGCCATAGAAAATATCAGATTAGAATATCACACAACCTCCTCTGAAGAAAAGACCAAAGTCTATGTTGGGTATAAGAAAACAAAAAAGGGGAAAGAGCAGTGGGAGAAATTAGAGTGGAGTTGATAGATCAGTGAGGAGCAAAACAGGAAGATTCTGACATGACCAGCAAAAACACTGTTGATCTATTTAGTTGAAAGGGTAAGTCACTCAGAGATCTCACTAACATGCAGTATGATATGGATTTGGTTTTTACAAGGGGTACTTTGTAAGCCTTAGAATAATGATATGAGGCAAGAATCAGTATTTTTCTTTTGTAGATGGAGAATCTGGGTCTATATAATATAAGCAATATCATACATACAGTAATTGGTAGAGCAGAGAGGTAAACCAGAGCTGCCCAACATCCAAAGCTATTTCAGACTTGATGCCAGTTCAAATACTGTAGGTACTTGAATTCAGCAAAATAACCCAATATAATCCAATAGTCCATAATAGTAGTGGGTTATTAGCAGAACTGGTAATTGTCAGAAGTTGTTGACTTAAACCTTTTACAGCTCAGCATATTAATATGGCTTTACTTTTTATATCTCGTGGGTATACTTTTCTGCTGGATGGTTAACTAATACAGCATCTCTAACAGCCATAGAACACCCATCTCTGACAAAACAAAACAAAAAAGGGGGATATAAATAAAGAACTATTTTGTAATGAAAAAATATATGTATATACAAAATAGGATAGATATACATCTACTTTCTCTTAGTTTAACGAGAAGAAATATTTGTGCTAATATTGTTTAGACAAGATTTCATGTCTATATATTGCCCTCTGAATAACCACTACAAAGATAACAATATGCAATGTATTAATTATTGTAACTGTTCTACGAACATATTTTGAAACTGTTTCATTGCTATTTTATTTTCTCATTAAAAAGTACAATAAATTAAAAAAAAACAAAGCTATTTCAGGTTACCTATAAGCAAAAGGGTGGAGGGTTGTACAAGATAGACCAATCCTCACCTTGCATTTAGATTCCTTGTGTTCTGAGTAGTTGAATAATATTTAGCATCAAGTTTCCCAGCTGTAGAGAAAAAACAACAATTTGTATTTTATATTTGAGGTCACTGAGGCAATTAATTTGAAAAACATAAGTCTTGCTACAAACTGAACTCTACAAAAGTATTGGCTTTTCTTTCTTTTGGTTAACTTCCCTTTAGCAACCCCTATGAATTTTCTTTCCCAAAGCTTTATCAAGTAGATCTGCTCAAAATGCCAAATATAACATTTCTCTGTGTCCTTTTCTAGGGCATTGAAGAAGAATAGATTTGACTTTTTTAAAAAAAGATGCATATGTAATTTTTCCAGTATTTAAAATGTTGTAGATGCCATAGAGTGATTATTTCCAGTACTAACAACATTATTACAGAGGATAAACCAACTAGTGTGCCAGTTGGTTATAATGGTTAGAATAAAATCTAGCAGAACCAGAGTTTCTATGGATTCTTAAAACCAAGTACACAAATACAGTTAGATATTTTCCTAGCTGGTATGCACTCAGTCTGACCCTGTAGACAAAACTAGCCATAATGTTTATCTCAAGTGAAATTGTTTGCTTTTCTGCAATCTCAGTCAAAAATAAAGGAAAAAATAAAGACACACAGATACAACTATATATTCAAAGAGCCATTTTTGCTGGATGAGGATTGTGTAATAAATTTTTAACAGGTTTATCTTTTAATTTTATTAGTATCTATTTTTCTTTTCTAAAGAGAGTAAAAAATAACTTTAAAAAGTAGAACCAGTACATAATTTCACTAAACAAAATATGGAAATTGAGCAATGTTTGTTATTTTACATATTACTGTTTCCAAATTAGCTATTTTAAGGAAAATGAAGTATAAAAAAAATAGCAGGGCTAATTTATATTAACTATATAATTAGAAACAACTTTAATGTTTTCAATTTGTGTAATTAATATTATCCACATAAAAGACTTCATCTTCTACAGCTGATTTTCATTCAAAAATAATATTCAACAAAAGACCTGGGGAAATGGTGACAGTAAAATGAAGGACACATGAATATGACATGATGAATAAAATGAGAAATTCGGTAATCTGTTTCTTTTTGAATATCTGTTATGTGAAAAAATTGTTTCAGGTACTAAGAACATAAAGACAATAGTACATCATCTTTTCTTAGAGTCTTACAACATAGTCAATATTGAAAATGCATAAATTGATTACTACAACATGCTAGGTACTCACATAATGAACAGAAAAGAGCACCTAGACTCATGAAGCAGATGTCTATTAAGTTTGCCTGCTAGATCCATCTGTTTTCTTCAGGAGAGTTACTGAGATTTGCTGAGCCATTGTCTCAGTTACTCTTCTCTCCTTGCTGGGACAAATACCCGACACCCAAAATGAAGGAAGGAAAAGTTTATTTAGCTCACAGTTACTGGAGGTTTCAGTCCATACTCAGCTGGCTCCAAAGCAGAGTGGCACATGGCAGAGAGCAGCTTTTCATGGTGGCAACAAAGAGCAGAGAGCAAAGGGAGTGGCAGCTCAGGCAGCTAGCTAGCATACACTGCAATGCAAATTACCTGCCCAAGCGCAGGTGCAGCATCCACACCCACAATCATCAATCACAAACTCCAGAAGATGCCCCATGACTGAATGAGGCTTTGGGGGGACAACTACACACAAACCATAACAGCCATCAACATGACAACTAAAAGGAAAAAGTATTATTCCATAATACTTATGAACATGACTTATCCCCTGAAGGCTGAGAGAAAATAATAAGTGTTAAAGAAATAAAGAGTAGATTTGTTTTGAAGGGATTTGGAACAAGGAAGGTAATGAGAAAAGCAAGTAAGAAGGAAGAGAGTCATGAAGGACACCATACTTAGCATATTCCTTGACCAGCAAATGGTCCAATGTAACTATGTAATAACTAAAAGTTATACTACAAGACAGATGGATATTAGACATGTACATTATGCAGATTCCAATCATGGCAAAGAGGAACTGGGAACAGCTGTGTATACTCTTTCTTATGTTTTTCTTTTCAGAAAAATTCAGGCATATTCATACACTTTTATGGGAAACAGTATGGTAATTAAAGATATTTATAAAATGCATAAAAATCAAATCAGGGCAATAAACATCTCTATTTCTTCACATTTAGCACATTTATGTGTTGCAATTTTCATACCTTTCTAATGACTTTGAAATATGTCATAGACTAATTTAATCTATAATGATCTTACTATAGCCTAGAAGAGTTGAAAGTAGTCCACACTATGTTTTGATGCTCTGCACTGAGCTATTTTCTCTTTCCTCCTGCTTTTTCCAGTCTGCAGTGACCACTATTCCCATCCATTCTTCCATAAGATTGGCCTCTCAGTTTCCTTAAGTGTATCACAAAACATGGTGTGTGTGTGTGTGTGTGTGTGTGTGTGTGTGTGTGTGCATAATTTATTTTGTTTAATATGATGACCTCCAGTTCTATCTAGTTCACTGCAAATGACATCAGTTCATTTTTTATGGCTGAGTAATATCCCTTTGTGGTACATGGTAGACCGATAGATAGATAGATAGATAGATAGATAGATAGATAGATAGATAGATAGATGATAGATAGATGATAGATAGATAGATAGATAGATAGATGATATACATATAGATATGTTTTACATTATCCTCAACCAATTATAATTGGTTGATTATAATATTTCAGCTATTGTGATCAGTGCTACAGCAAAGATGGAATATATCTTTGTTTTAAAAGAACATAAACAAGTGGGTAAAAACATACACAAGTATGTTTTTGTGCAATGAACCTATCTTCTCTGTTGAATCATATGGTAGCTCTATATTTAGTTTTAGTTTTAAAAATTGTAGACTTCCGTAATGAGCGGTGTAATTGACAACCCAATGAACACTGTAAAGCTTTTGTTTCTCTGGATCCTCTCTAGAATTTGCTATTTTTTGTCTTTTTATCTGATAGTCATTCTATCTGTGGTGAGATGATATCTCATGGAGGTTTTGACTTGTATTTCCAAGATGATCAGGGTGATATCACAATCTTTATGTACTTATTAACTACTTGCTTAGTTCTGTAGTCTACATTTACAATTAGATATTTGTTTTTGTTGCTGAGCATTTTAGGTTCTATACTATTCTGGATAACAGTATATGAATTGTCATATAAATAGTTTGCAAATATTTTCTCTCATTTTGTAGTTTTTCTTATTTCTGTTATTTTCTTCTCTATGTGGAAGTGTCTTCATTTAAATATTTCATTTGCCTGCTTTTATTTCTGTTGCCAATGATTTGTGATCCAATCCAAGAATCATTATCTACACCAATGTCTTAAAGTTTTTTCAAGCCATATTTTCATGAGTTTCATTTGTTATGTGGATATTTGATCTGTCTTCAATTGAATTTTATGCAGAGGGAAACAATCTATTTTCATTTTACTAAATATGTATGTACAATTTTTAAAACTTTTTAAGGGTTTTCACTAGTATATGTTTTACAGTATGTCATTTTATATTCATGGTAGAGAATTGGTACATGTACATAACACATTTCAGTTCCCTTCCTTTATGCCCTCCCTCTACTCCCTTATATTTTTCCAGAACCAGCTTCATTTGTTTATTTCATAAGACCAGATAAAGTTAATTGTCACACTTACAAATTAAAAACTAGACTAATAGGCCAAAGAACATATCAAAACATGTAAATCAAGATATACTTTCAGATTTATTGTTCATGCTAGATTAATATACCATTTTTTATTTCTCTTTTTTCCTATTTTGTGACTGTATTTAGTACATTCAATATGTTGAGTTTTTCACAAAACAGAAACTATGTCATATTTAAGCTTGTGTATTTGAGTTAAACCACTTAAAGTTATAGTCTTAAGGTGTACCCATTTTTGTATAAATAACTTTTTTATCCTTGTTTAAAGTGGAGCAGTATTATATCATATACAAATACCACATTTTTAATCCATTCATCTGTTGATGGACATATAAGCTGTCTCCATGATTTAGCTATAATGAATTATGCTGTTATAAACGTAGGCATGCATACATCACTATTGATGTTTCTAATTCTTTTGGGAGGATACCTACAAAGGTAATACCTGGGTCAAATGGAATTTTTAAGAATCTCCATATTGATTTCCATAGTGACTGTATCAATGTGCAGTCCCACCAACAATGGAGAAGGACTCCTTTCTCTCCCAGCCTCTCCAACATTTGTTATTGGTTGATTTCTTGATGGTAGCCAGTCTTTCTGGAATGAGTTGGAATCTAAGTGTTGGTTTAATTTGCAGTTCTCAAATAGCAAGAATGGTGAACATTTTGATATATGTATTGGGCACTGTATTTCTTTACCTGAGAAGTGTTTATTAATTTTAAATGATCTTTTTAAATTTAGACTTTAAATTTGGGTCTTTACATACTTGAGATATTAGTCCTTTGAGAAATAGCTGGCAAAATTTTTTCTCCATTTTATAGTTTGTCTTTTCACTCTGTTAGTGGTTTTCTTTGCTGTTTAGAAGCTTTGAAATTTCCTATGATAGTGCTTGTTGATTCTTGGTATCATTTCCTGAAAGCTTTCTCTGTAAAATCAGAAACAAGAAAAAGATGTCCATTATCACTACTTCTGCTTAAAATAGTTCTCAAAACATTAGCTAGAACAATAAGCCAAGAAAAAGAAATGAACAGGATATGGATAGGGAAGAAAAAAGTTAAGTTGTCATTATTTGTTGATAGTGCTGCAACAGGTAAGAAAGTGAACACTTATCAATAGAATTTCTGTAAACCAATAACAAACTTCCCAAGACAGAAAGTAGAAAAACAATACTGTTCACAATAGCATCAAGAAAAATAAACCATTAGGAATTAACTAAAAGAGTCAAAGATCTCTGTAATGAGAACTATAGTACTCTGAAAGGGGAAATTAAAGAGGATATCAGAAAATGGAAAGACATCCTGTGTTTCTCGATAGGCAGAACCAGTATAGTGGGAAAAAACATATTTCTCAAACTGTTACAGAGATTCAATACATTCTGAATCAAAATACCAATAACATTCCTTACAGAGCTGTAGCAAGAGGTCCTAAAATTCATGGGGAACCAAAAGACACCTAGATTAGCAAACGTAATTCTGGGCAACAAGGGCAAGGCAGGAGACTCTACAATGCCAGACTCAAGATACGCTACAAAACTGCAGCAATAAAAAAAAAAACAGCATAATATTTTCAAAAAGCAGACCCATGAATTTGTGGAACAGAATAGAATATAAAGAAACAATTTCATCCACACTTTGACAAAGGTGCCAACTTCCCTCACTGGAACAAAGATTGCCACTTGAACAAATGGTGTTGGGAAAACTAGCTATCCATAAGCTGAAGGCTGAATTTAGACCCACATTTCATATTATGCACTGAACTAAAATGAAAATGGCTCAAAGTTCTAATCATTAAAACAGAAGCACTTTATGTGCTAGAAGATAAAACAGGTAAAATGCGTGAAGACCGGTATAGTCGAAGACCTTCTGATGTGCAATTTTGCTGGCAGTATTTATTGAAGGGACTGTCTTTATGCTTTTGGCATTTAGGTTAAAATTTAGCAGGCTAGATAAGTTGGGGAAAAGTTCTGAGTTCTCTAGTTTGTTCCATTGGTCTGTGCACTGAGTTTTGTGCTCATTTACTATATCTGTATAGTATGTCTTTTTTTTTAAAGTTTTAAAATTTCTGAATTTAGTTGAAATTATAGCACCACATTTCCAACAAAAATAAACCTTTTTCACAAGAAATTTGAATAAAATCATACCAATACACAAAAATGAAATTGTCAAAAACTAATTATAAAGAAAATCATTAAAGCTTATACATAAAAATATTGGCTATGAAAGAGCAAAATTAAATAGCATCTTATTCCACATTAGAAAAAAAAGGAGCAAGTGTGTAAGAAACTAGACTAGTTAATTCAAAGAGCTAAAGGAAGAAAAAAGATCTGTCCTCATTGAATTTTATGATTAGAAAACATACCTTTGAAAACTAAAAGTAAAATATTTTCCCATCATACAAACTCCAAATATTCTAGTACCTCCCGATGTAGCATACAGAAAATAACAAAGAGCACAATCCAGAAGGCAAGAAAAGTTGCTGTGTGGTCTTGGATAAGAAATAAAGAGCTCACCAAATGGTAGTTATTCAGGACTAAGTAAAATATACTACAGCAATTCATTTAAAGGGTCGCTGAAGATTTTTACAAAACAGGATAAATTTTATGTCTGGTTATATACTTATTTTTTCATATATGTCTGCGTGTGTGTGTGTGTGTGTGTGTGTGTGTGTAAAAGACAAGGAAGAAGTAATATAAA